GCCACAATGCCTGGCTATTTTCTTAGAGACGGGTCTCACTCTGGCTTGAACTGGTCTCAAACCCATGAGCTCAGGCAATCCACTAGCCTTGGCCTCCCAGAGTGTTGAGATTATAGGCATGTGCCACCTTGCCTGGCCAGCAATGGTTTTTCCATTTTTAAAGGGCTGAGAAAAAGGGAAAAAAGAACCTGCAAGGGACCTCACAGCAGGCCATGAAACTCACAAGTTTTACCATCTGGCTCTTTGTGGAAGAGTTTGCTGGCCTCTACTTTAGAGCCATAGCTCTCAATCCAGGACCATGCCAGGTCCCATCCTAGGACATTCAGTAATGCCTGGAGATATTTTGAGGTGATGGAGGGGGCAGGATGTTACTGGCATTTAGTAGGTGGAGGCCAGGGCTGTTCCTAAGCAACCCATATAGGCATAGGACAGCCCCCTACAGAGAATGACAAGGTCCTAAAGTCAGGAGAGCCATGGCCAGAAAATCTTATCCTGGAGAGCTAACCCTGGGTCCCTCTCCTCCTGGCATCACCGGGACAGAAAAGAGAATGCACCTAGCCTCCTGATCTGTCCATTGGTGCCTGGCAGGGTATTTTTAGCTTCAGCATCTATTTATTGAATATCTTTCTCCAAATTTTGGAATGGGAAGTAGGGAAAGTGGCAGGGGAAGGGGGCTTCTGTTTGGTTAATTCCCTAGAATATCAGGGCAGACCTAAACTAGAAAGGTTTCATCCCATGATAGACTAGGGATGAGAAAGAGGGGAGGGGCAGGTGAGGCTTTGACCTCAGGGGCTCCTACCCCCACCCCCCTAGCAAGGACACGGGATCTCCATGTTCCTCCTTCAGGATCTAACCACAAGCTCAGGAGGATAACCTCACACACTTCAGCGCCATGAAGCCACCTCTAAGTCTGCATAGGTGTAGGCTCTGGGACAGGTGCAGGGTAGGGGCTGGGGTAAAGGGGAGTCACACAGTGGGGTGGGGAGGATCTCTAGCTCTTTGGAGGAGCCACCACTCATTCATTCAGGTAAGATTTCTTGAACACATACTGTGGGCCAGGTATGATTCCAGGCGCCTGACATCCAAAAGCAAAGTCAAGTACCAATATCTTCATACTCTAGGATTCTGATAGGGGAGACAGTAAACAAACAGGCACAAAACATCAGGAAATTACAGAGCATGTAAAAAGCTATCAGTTCTATGGAAAGCTGAGAGGAGTGCAGAAAACTGAGATTTTAAACAGGGAGCATGGGGTAAAAGATTACAGGGGAGATGATATCTGAGGGGGTGAGAGATTAAAAGCCTCCCAGATATCTAAGGGAAGCTTCCAGGTGGAAGGAACAGGCAGTGCAAAGGTCCTAGGGTTAGCTCTTGCTTAGCATGTTGGAGGAGCATTGAGGAGGAAAGGGATGAGAAGGAAAGAGGTACAGAGGCAGATACCAGGATATCCAAGCCTGGGACTGAGGTTGTGCCAGGGTGTGGAGTGCTGGAGGCTGCTCTGTTCAGAATCTGGGGTCACCATCCCCGGGGACCTGTCTACTCCAGAGGGGAGACACATGCCTTTTCCTCAACTCCTTTGATAGGAGCCTCCTGACTGAAATCACAGTGTGAGCTCCACAAGGTCAGGACATGGCCACTATCCCCTCCCAGTGTCCCCAGCAACGTGCCTGGAACACGAATCACAAGGAAAATGTATGTAAGTTGCATGAAAAAGTACATCCAGCCTTGCTCTGAGGAGCCCGAGAACAAACACCTGAGCACATGCCTACAGGTGCACACAAGATGCAGACAGGTCCATTTGTGCACACAGACAGCTGCTCCTTCATGGAACTCTCCTCCAACACACACACACACACACACACACACACACACACACAGCGCCCCCTCTGCAAAACTCAAACACCACCACATAAGAGGCCAAAAGATAAGCCTCTTGTGCCACACACGTGGCCACACACATACTTGGCCAGATTACCATCCAAGCCACGCACATAGAAAACACATACGCATAGGTACAGACAGACAGCTGACAGAAGACTAGATCCTAGATTCCAGAGGCAGCAGGACCACCTCCCCTGTCAATACTTAGCTTCCTACCCCACCTGGGACCCCACTTTCCTCTTTCATCAAGGCATCCAATAGCAAGCACTTTGCTCCAACCCAGTCTGGGAGAGATGCTACCTTGCCCAGGCACCTCCAGGGTCACTGGGGTTCCCTGCATCTTGAGCCCCTCCTCTCACTGCCCATGTCAGAGCTGGAGGAGGGGAAGTGTCTGGTGTCTGGAAATCTGATCCATGAGAAGAGCCCACATAGAAACCAGAGCCTTGTGTGTCCTTGGCCACACGTCTGGTTTGGGAGATAGGCGGGGGCAGAGATGAAGCTCCAGCTCCCTGCCGCCACTGCACAGGGATGGGGAGCTGCCTCTACTCTTCCTGATTCTCACTTATTGCCCCCCCACCAAGATACCTGCTGGGGCCAAAAGTGCCATGCCACATGCTCTGCCGCCAGCCTGGTGGGGCAGAGAAGACATGGATGCCAGAGACGCAGGGAGCATGCCATCCCACACCCCAGGTGGAGATGTCAAGGGCCAGGAGCCCAGACCGTTGATGCAAAACAGATTCCCATTCAGCCAAGGCAGCCATCGGTCCCTGCCAGTGTGCCCACAAGGTCTTCCTGAGCCCCCAGGAGAAGGGACTCTTCTGGGAAGGTGGGGAATAGAAGCTGGGCCCCTTCTACTGCCTTCCTTTAGGCTGCTGCCCAGGTATGCTGGTCCCCAGCTCCCCACCTTCCCCCAACCCTAAATGTTGGCTCCACAACCAGGAATAGGCTCCACTGTAGGCAATTATGGTGTATGTAAGCCCTCCGCAAGTGGGAGTTGAGGCAGGCACTCTGTGAAAGGATGGAGGGTATAGATGGTTATCCCAGGACAGAAGCTACAGGCACATGGGTGGGCCAAGTCACGTCCTGAGGGGTGTCACCAAGGGGGCAGGCAGGAGGGAGACAGTAGCAATACCAGTTGGGGGGGTCAGCAACGACATATGAGCCCAAGCACACACATATGTGGCTCCATGAATGGGTGCGATGGCTGCCAGCCACAAAATTAGTTCCCTTTTCCTCTTTCCAGATGATTTTTCATCTCTGTAATTAATGGGCAAGTCAGTTCTGAACGGCATGGCAGGCAAATTGCTAGTTAGGAAAATCATGGATAATTTTCTCGATATGATAATGAAGGTTGTATTCCTTCTCTTAGTCTCCCTGTTTTCATCCTACTTTTAAGTAATAAATTCAGCATTTGTAGAAGAGGCACAGGGAGGAAGGAGAAGTCACCTGCCCCCCAAAGCTGGGGTCTGACCTGGACCCACACAATCCCCTGGACTCAGGACAGATGAAGAAGACAAGAGGTGTGGACCCTCTGTGGGGGTATCCTGACACCCCAGTGATTGATTGAGAGTGCCAGGCTTGAGGGAACAGGTGGAAAGCAGGAAGCTCTTAGCCAAAGGGGCTGGGGCCCGTCCTGGGGCCCCCGGAGGTTACAAACTCATGTTGGCCCTCAGGGTGCTGGGAAGAGGTGTAGAAACCAGAGGCCTCTCTCTAAACAGCATGGAGGTCAAGAGGCCCAGAAGAGACATCCACTCTGTGGTATTCCCCTCACCTGTCCCCACACTGTCCAACCTCCTCTCCACAGTGAAAGAGAGACAGAAACAGAAGTGGAAAAAGGAAGAAGGAGAGAGAGAAGGAGAGGGAGATGGGGAGGAGGAGGGAGAGGGGAAAGGAGAAGGAGGGGGGCAAAGAGAGAGAGAGAGAGAGAGAGGGAGAGGAGGCGGCCAGCCATCTTGGCAGCCATTTTGAACCCCTCCCCCACTCCCCCAGGCACACCACATGTTGGGATGTGGGAAGACAGACTCCGGCTCCCAGTCTTGTATAAGCTGGGAGGAAAAGGGGTCCTGCCTCAAACTGGGATGGAGGGACACCCACACAGCTGCCACAGCTGGGGGGCAGAGGAGCTGGGGTTAGGGCACCAGGTAGGTACAGTGAGGCGCAGTGAGCTGACCTAGACTGGAAGTGTAGGGACAGGCATACACATAGAGGCTGTTTGCAGGCAGGGCACTGTCTTCAGATGGGGGCGGCGGAGGTGGGGATGGGGGTTCACTGGCCCGAGCGTGGGAGGTCATTTTCTTTCCATGGCGAGGCACCCTCCTCTTCGGGCCTGGCCTTGAGTCCCAGGCCCTTCAGGTGGGAGGATAACAACTGAATTTCACCCTCCCCCGCTCCAGCTCTATCCAATGCCCACCTGGGGAGGGGGTGGGGGGTTCGTCCTCAAAGCACGAATAATCCCGGTGGATCAAACCTGACAGCCTTCCATGCCGAACTTGGTACCACGAAAAGATGCTGCCTCGCTGCACCCCCTCCTGACAGCGGCACCCCCCGGATTGCAGCCGGCTGGACACCACAGACCCCTCCCCATCCCCTGCGCCACTGCCTCCTGGAGAAAAACAACCCCCAGCCCAACATCCTGTGGTGCCAGCCCCCAACACCTCTCCTTCGGGGCCCTGGGCCCGCGCGCAGCGCGCACACGCACCGTCTCCGCTCACACCCAGACACCTACACAAACAGGGCGCCAAGCACCCGCGCGCACACGCACCGGGGACACGCAGGCACCGCCGCGCCGCTTCCCCACAAAGGCTGGCGCGCGCGCGGGCACACGCAGCCACGCGCGGGCACACTCGCGGTCCCCTCCCCCCGCCAGGCACCCTGCGGCCACCCATCCGCACCCCCGCACCCAGAGCATTCAGTGAGGGCTGCCCCTCCCGGCCCCCTAGCCGGTGGGGGTGGGGTGCGGGAAGCCCCTCCCGCTCAGGTGAGGTGACCTGCGGCTCCAGCATCCCCTCCCCCTCGAGGCCAAGACAGGCCCTGGCTCCCATCCTTCCCACCACCCCCCTCCCCGCACACACCTGGCTCAGGTGCGGCGTCCCCCTAGCCCTGAGTCCGCAGACACTCACCTGTCCAGCGCAGTTCTGGGGTCGGCCCTGCGTGTCCCTCCTGTGGCTCCACGAACCCGTGCCCCCCGCCCGGCACATCTCCCGGAGCCCGGGCAGGGGGAAAGCGGGTGGGGGGTGGCCGGGCGAGGGCGGCCTCCGTGTCCCTTCTATCCCTTGGCCCAGCACCACCGCCACCGACCAAAAATTAAAAAATAAATAAATAAAATTTAAAAAAGAAGGACTGCACAGCTCCAAAGGCGGCCCCCTCGCGGCGGCAGAGGCTCGGGGCTGGGGGCGAGCGGGTCTGCGCCCCTCCCGGGCAGGGAGGCACCGTAGGCGGCGGGGCGGGGGCGGCGTCAGAGCTCCGGAGGCAGGGGCGAGGCGGAGCGCCCCGAGGCGGCGCCGGCAGCGGTCCGCATCTCCCCCGCAGCTCCGCGGCCTCGACGGAGGAGGCACGTGTGCGCCCAGGCGACTTCCCACCTCCCGCCGACGGCGGAGATGGCCGAGGAGCTAACGGGGCAGCCAAGATGCTCCTGCAGGCCCCCGCCGCCCCGCGGCACTGCTTCGGGGCTTGCCTGCCCCCATCCGCCGGGGCCTCCTAGGCAGACAGCGGGGCGGGGGCGCCGCAGCGCCGACAGCTCCCGCGCCGACGGTTCGGGCTCCCCGCAATGGCCGCAGGGGGCACGGGTAGGGGGAGGGCGACGCGGAACTGGCTGGGGGGGGGCGCGGCTGAAGGCGGGTGCCGCGGCGTAGCGCCCCCGGTGCGACCGAAGGGGGGCGCCGGGCCGGGCCCGTAGGCACCGCAGGACCGCGGACCTAGCCGGCGCCGGGCACCAGCAATGACAAGCCGCCTGCTCGCCCAGCTCTCCGTCGCACTCTCTCCGGGAGGGGGGCGGCGGGCGCGCGCAAAACCTGGCCTGGATTTACCGCCCGGGACTGGCCGCCGCAACCTGCCTGGGCGCACCGGGAGTTGGCCCAAAAATCCGAGCTGGAGTTTGCTTCTCTTCGCCTCTTTTCACCCCGGCCTGGAAAAGCCAAGAGAGGGAAGTAGACGTGCTGGATCCTTGCGTTAGATCGGAGAGTGATTGGGGGGGGGGGGGGGGTGACAGGCACAAGGAAGACTCGGAGCGGATTTTCTAGCAGTGAAGTAAAGGAAAGGCTCCGAGCCTGGTGAGGGGAGAAATGCGGGGTGGGGGTGGGGGGCAGGATCTGGGAGGGTTATGCAAAACCCGGGTTGGATTTGACAGAGATGGGAGGAACGGGGTGGGGGCAGCTGCGACTTGGCAAAATGCACTCAGGGCACGCAAATTTCGGGCCGGATTCCTCCTCAGGAGACGGAGTAGTGCGTCAGGCCTAATGCAGTGGAAACAAGTAAGACCCGGCCTAGAGTTCCCAGGACCTGGGCTCGCTGATGGCTCTGGGAGTAAGGGAGTACAGGCTGCTCGCATCATTGTGGCAGCGACGCGCAAGGGGGAGGGGCAAAAAGAGGGCTGGACTGGGTACCAAAGGATTCGGCGCGCTGGCTGCACCGGAGCAGGCAAGTAAAAGCGGTTTCTGGATCTAGGAGCCATGAGAAGGGAATGTGAGGTGGCCGCTACCCTGGGAGACCAGACCTACAATAAAAGGCGCAAGAGGGACACAAAGCCAGGACTGGAGCTCAGGGGAAGGGATGAGAACCCAGCATAAGATCCCAGGGCAACCGGACAGGTTTGGAGCTAACCGGGCAGCAGAGGCGGAAGGGACGGATAGGGGGGAGGTTAGTATCTATAAATGCCTCAAAGGACTTCTTTTTAGGGTATGGGGGGGAGGGTCACGCGAGAAAAATTGAATATATGTTCTTGGCAAAAGCAAAAACCCGGCACAGATTTTCACCCTCTAGCATGCACTGCAGCTGGTGGCCTCTAAGAAATAGGGCAAAGAACAGACTTGGGTTTCCAGGCATCTGGCCCAGTGAGACGAGGGACAGGTTTTGAGGCAGAAGGAGCCCTATGTCTCCTCTCTGGGGTGGGGAAAACTATCTGACCTGGCTTGGAACTCTGCAACCAGAGCTATGACTGCCAAGACCCACTGTGGGGGCTACAAAACCGGGCCTCAGGCCAAAAACAGGCACTTCTGCAGAATAGACAACTCAGTGAGGGGGGTAAATGGATGGTGGGGGCAGAATTCTGGAGGAGGGAGATAAGGGGAAGGCCCTGAGAGATAAGATCTGGTCAGGATCTCGGGAGACCAGACCTGGAAGCTGGGCTTCTGGCTCCATTTTATGAAACCTTGAGACAACTCTAATACTGAGTGCTAGGGGAGGAGCAAAACCTGGATTTGGATCCTTAGGGAAAGGAGCCCATCCAAGAAAGGCCTAGATGTTAAAAGCAGCCAGCTCAAGCAAAGTTCAAAGTCAGGCTGAATCTCAGCAAATCTCAGGGCAGACAAATTCTGATCTGGATTTTAGAGGAAGGGGAGGGAAAAACTGCACCCCCTCTGTGTTGAGAGAAAGAGAATGCACTACTAACCAGCCTTTTTTTTTTTTTTTTTTTTTTAGACAGAGTTTCACTTTATCACCCTCAGTAGAGTACCTTGGTGTCACAGCTCACAGCAACCTCTGGCTCTTAGGCATAGGCAAGTCTCTTGCCTCAGCCTCTGGAGTAGCTGGGACTACAGGGACTCTTCACAACACCCTGCTATTTTCTGTTACAGTTTGGCCCGGCCGGGTTTGAACCCACACCCTTGGTATATAGCGCTGGTGACCTACTCAGTGAGCCACAGGCACCGCCCTGCTAACCAGCTTTTTGCAGAATGGGTGAGAAATTGGGAAGGGTGGTAAATACACAGAACTTGGGGTGAGAAATTGAGAAGGGTGGTAAATACATAGAACTTGGGGCAGACTTGGATGGGAAAAATGAATATCAAAGAAAGCCTGAATTGAATATCTTCAATACAATGAATTTGGCCTCTAAGAGTTCCTTCCCAGAAGCATGTCCTGGTGGTTGAACTAGGGGAGAGGCAGGGTCACCAACTTCCAGGCTGACTGGGTGGGTGACCAGGCCCCACCTCTGTGAGCAACCATCATTTCAGGACTGGTCAGGGATTCTCGTAGCCCACAACCTAGACCAAATCTAGCTCAAAAACGTCAGGACTCCTTGGGTGGCGCCTGTGGCTCAGTGAGTAGGGCGCCAGCCCCATATACTGAGGGTGGTGGGTTCAAACCTGGCCCCGGCCAAACTGCAACAAAAAAATAGCCGGGCATTGTGGCTGGTGCCTGTAGTCCCAGCTACTCAGGAGGCTGGGGCAAGAGAATCACCTAAGCCCAGGAGTTGGAGGTTGCTGTGGGCTGTGACACCATGGCACTCTATTGATGGCGATAAAGTGAAACTCTGTCTCTAAAAAAAAAAACAAAACAAAAAACTTCAGGACCCAGAAGTGGGTCACCTTCCTACTTCCTTCACACCCATGATTCCACAGCAACAGAGCTTTCGCCCTGAATCTGAGAGGTGACCAGATAGCTGGATCTGAGGGACCATACAGTGGGGGTTGGTGGGTGCAGAATAGATCCCATCCATCTTTGGTTAACTGTGGATCTGTCTAGGATATGAAGGAGGGAGAGTCCCAACTCTCCATGCCTCAGTTTCCCACTTTGAGATATTGACAGCACTAAGACCCATGAAAGCTTTGAGGTGCTGAGGAGTGGGTGCCATGCCTCTGGGGCAACCAAGACACCCTCTCCGAAATCCAGGGAACCAGTTTTCTATAAACCCAGCAGGACTGAGAGGGGAACAGAGCTAGTGGGGTTCAGAGAAAGCTGGACACCTCCAGAAACCTCTGGCTCCAAGGCTCCACCTCAACCCACCCTCCAGCCCCCCACTATCCCTCTACCCCGCAGAGGGAGCCTAAGGTGAACCAGGTGGTGGTTCTAACTCTGACTCTTCAGAGGAGTGGCCTTTATTTATATGAGGGGAAGTGCTGGCATTCTTTCAGAGGCCCTCCCGTAACACACTTTGGAAAAATCTTGGTATGACCCCCTTTCCAGAAGCTCTAAGTGATTATGGGAGGGCCCCTGGCAGGAGTGGCTCATCAGCCTCCAACTATCCGCGTCTCCTGGGCAGAGGGCTGAGGGAGAGGGAAAGGGCGCTTAGAGGATAGGTGCAACGAGAAGACCCTGGCGCCCCACAGACCTTCGGCTGCGCAGCCGCAGTGGAGGGCGCGCCCGCAGCTGGGCTCCGGGAACTAACGCGTACCGGCGCGCGCGCGCACCGCGTGCCCTGCACTGCTCCAGTCAGTCCCCAAGCTTCTGACACTACTCCCAGGACGCTCCTCTCTTCGAGCATTCTACCTTGCGCCTCGGTTCCCTTACGTGCTCCATGCTTCGGACATCCGACGTTCTGTGCATCCCGTCCCACTGGACCCACTCGGTGCCCTGTGCTCCAAGCATACCCCCCGCCCCATTCCATGACCCCTGAGCCTGGAAACGCCACCTTATATGCACCCGTGCCAGAGAACCCCCATACTCAGGGTTTCCCACGCCTGGGGTACCCCAAATTCTCTCTTTGAGTCTTGGGGGCCCCACATTCTGTGCGCCTAACGAGTCCGGTTCCCCAGCTTTAAACTTGGCTCAGCTCACCTGTGCCCTCTTCCTCCTCCCTGTGCCGTATCTGTGTTGCACACACTGTCCTGGGTTTCCACGTTGTTCCTGGGGCTCAGCTTTCCTTTCCCTCAAGCCAACGGTCCCATCCCAGCCTAGGGTGCTCTGCCTCAGGCTGCTTAAGTCCTGCAGGTACACGTGAGGCCACACTCTGCAACACCTTGGAGGGCAGACTGGAGGAGGCTGGAGTATACGTTCCTGGAATCACCAGGCACCCCTAGCCCTGCTTTTCCTAGAGCCCACTCAGCACAAGATACATAACGCTGCTGTTCATTTAATCACTCGGTTCATGTATTCATCCTTTCCATTTATTCCTCAAACACAGAGCACCACTAATATAACCTTATCTGCCAGATGTAGTGTGAGAATGGCCTACCGCACAGCCCAACAGGACAGGATGCCTTCTCAGTGGCACTCCCTTTCTAATGGAGAAGATAGACACAGAGCACATGATTGAATTAGCCCTGGAGAGTGAGACTCTCCAGGGAAGTAGATGATGGACCTATCCAAGCTCCGCAGAGGGAGTGTGTGTGTCCCCGGCTTTCCTAGAAGCT